CGCTTGACAAGCAACGTTTTGAGACTCTTCGTGAAAGTTTGAATTTGCAAGATTTCAGTGTTATAACTTGAGAAGGGGTGTTGGGAGTTACAAGTTTAAACACTTCTATTCCAGTATTTACTGGGTTAATGATGTTTGCTAAATCACATGTTTGTTTGTAACCAATAAGTTTAGAGAGCTAGAAAGCCTGGTAACTTCAGATCTAGTTTGTTGTTCTGATTGGAGACTAGAGTGCCAGGTATCAGCATTTTATGGCTCTTTGTCCTGAGGAAGAAGAAGTTAGTCTCCATTACTCTTCTGCCATGTTCTGTCTAGCTGTAAGGATGTAGGAATATTAGCTCTTTGTTATTTTACATCCCGTGTACCTTTTCCCCATGCTAGGTTGTAGTAAACTTTTATATTTTAAACACACCATGGACTCTGCCTCTTTAATACTCTGCTGATATACTCTGCTGATTCACTTTAAGAATTAAAAGAATAATCCAACAGGGAGCATTGCGGCTACAGGGCACATGTAGGAAAAGATACTCAGGCGACTTGAGGACCCTCCAGCACTGCTTGAGAACTCCTTGTGAAGAGGGTCTGGCTAGGTGGAGTCACACACTCCTGTCCCTCCCGGGATGGACTGCACCAGTACCCTGAATGAATGCACTGACAGCAGACACAGCCCGCTAGGCAGACTTCAAACACATTCAGTGAACGTGGCCAGCGTCTAGTAGGGTTGCCAGCTCTGGACTGTGAAATTCCTGGAGATTTTGGAGGTGGAGTTTGGGGAGGGGAGACCGCAGTGGGGTATAATACCATACAGTCCACTTTCCCAAACAGCCATGTTCTCCAAGGGAACTACCTGGAGACCAGTTGTCATTCCAGATCTCCAACCACCACCTAGAGACTGGCAAGCCCGGCGTCTAGAAACTACGTGCATGTGGGAACCCAGCACCGAGGGCGAGGGGGAAAGTACTCCGTACATGTCCCGCGTGGCGTCCTTCTTCGTCTCTTCCAGGCCTGAGATCAAGCCGGTGCCAGGCCCACAGGAGGGAAGCGGCGAAAGTGGGCGAGCGACCTGCTTCAGTCCCGGGTAGTGGCGGTCTCCCCGCAGCCAGGTGGCGAAAGGCCCGCCAAAGGCCGCCGCCTCTTTCCCGGCAGTTCCCTGGCGCGCAGACTCCAAAGCGGCGCTCCTCCCCGGCCGCGGTTCTCCAAGGACGCGCGCTCTCTCTTCGGCTCGCGCGGTCAGCTTTGCGGGCGTCCAGCCTCATGGAGCTGGCGGGGCTGAGGAGGCGTCGCAGCCGGGAGGCCTGGTGCTCCCCAGGAGGTGAGACTCCCCCTTGCCCTCGGGGCCAGACCGGAAAAAAAGCGTCTCCGGGCGCCGAGGGTGGGAAGGGGCGCGGCTGGAGGAAGGATGCGCGGGGGGCACCGAGCGTGGGATAGGTCAGGGGGCTTCTCAAAGGCGTTTTCCGCTCTAGGTCCCAGCGAGAGCTCATCCGAAGCCGGAGAGGCTGCGGTGTGCACAGTGCTGGTGTGTGTGTGTGTGTTAGAGATTGCTCGGGCTTTTTTAGGGAGTCGTTTCTCGGGGATCTGTTGGAACGGGGGGGGGCTCAATCCCTCGAAGCTGTTTTCAGTGCCAGGGCACAGCCCTGGGCGTTGTATCTCTGGACAGGTGCAGAATGCTTTCCCTGGCTTCTTATCTCACTCGTTCTCATCCAATTTAAGGCTTTCAGGGAAAGGGAGAATAGAGTTTTCAGGTCACTTCGTTCCAGCATCTCTCTCTCTCTCTCTCTCTCTCTAAAATACAGTCCTGCAAACACAAAAGAGCACCTGGGACAAAGTGTCTGAATAAGAGAATGGGGACAGGTGAGTTGGGCCCCTGGGCAAGTTCAGCAACAGGGCCAAAAGGCCGACTCAGTAGAGACTTTGACAACACAACATTTGAGGGGGGGAAACAAGGGTGCTTTTTAGGTTAAAAATGCTCTAAAGACATAACTAGTGATGCCAGTAGACAGCCAACAGGAGGTGGGGATGGTGTTGTGCATGGCACAGATGGGTGGGTGCAGAACACAGGGCGCTCCTGGCTCACTCAGGATGGGTTTGCTCCCTTGAGGCTGAGGTTGCTGACCTGGAGAATCTGAGAGAGCCAGAGAGAGGTACATGGATGAGGCTATCAGGAGTCTGCTAGGAGCGGCCAGCACCCATGCTGACGCTCCTCTGTTGTCATGGAGAATGAGGGTCTCGCCATAGACGGGCATTGAGTGCAAGAGGGAGGGAAGTAGGGCAGGATTCCGCACACGTTTGGGGATCCCACCTTGTGTCTGAAGTAGTCAGATCGGTTCTTGTGTGTGCGGTGCCTGATTAGGTTCAGAACCACAGGCTCAGGACCTTTTTATGCTATTTTCCTAACCTGAAACAGTTTCTGGGGATCTGTTTAGAGGAACCCACATGTTTCCTGGGATTTACGTGGATTTCCCCAACAGACCCAATGGCACAGGTGGCAGAAACAGCACAAGGGGGAGGCTGAAGCCCCTCTTCCACATGCACCAGGGTTCTGATCAAGCGCTGCACATTCAGGAATTAAGGAAAACCAACCCACAACTCATGTGTGATTGTGGTACAGCTGACATAGGGTGGGGACCCAGACCCAACCTGAGGAATCTAATGTACTCAGTCTGACAACTTCCTTTGTGGGGTTGGTGGCAGGGCAAGGACTTGTCCATAATTAGGGAGGTAGATATCGGATAGACGTTTTGATCTTGTTGTGACGTGTCTGTTAGGTACAAAGGTGGCAGACATTGTGAGCAGTTCAGATAGGCTGTTAAGCGAGTGCAGAGAAGGAATCGGCTCTTGTGGTGCATGGTGGCACCAGCAGCTTTGGGAAATGTAGCTGAGTGGTCCTAGAAGGGAATGTCCTATGTAACAATGAACATCCAGGGTCGCACTGTCTGAAAAATGCGACCTAGTCCATGCTGGACACGTGGGAACCATGCTGGACAAGCTGACCCCTGTACACAGCAGCTTTGCGTCACTTGAGCTGAAATGCTGGCATTTAAGTCTCCAAAAGGTTGCAGAATTAACTCCTGTGGAAAAATCAACAGCAGCTGGGGAGCCCCCAGTTCGGGAAGACTCATCCACAAAGAAGAGTTGGTTTTATATCCCTCCTTTCACTACCCGAAGGAGTCTCCGAGCAGCTTACAATCACCGTCCCCTTCCTCTCCCCACAACAGACACCCTGTGAGGTAGGTGGGGCCGAGAGAGCTCCGAGAGAGCTGTGACTGGCCCAAGGTCACCCAGCTGGCTTCATGTGGAGGAGGAGTGGGGAATCCAACCTGGTTCTCCCGGATTAGAGCCCCACCGCTCTTAACCACTACACCAAACTGGCAGTCCGGTTTACAATGAGTATATGCCAGAAAATAACAGCCGCTTAAAAAAAGCCAAAAGGGCTGTGGGAGGAAAAATATGCCTGCCAAGGAAGGTTGGCAAGGGAAGCAACGTACAGGTGTTTCTATGCAAATGCTGAACGCCTCTGAGGGAACATGGGGGAACTGGCATGCTTATACTAAAGGATATAGTTTGCTTTTCAGAGACCTGGAGGAAAGGGGGAGGGGAATCAGTGAGATATGGTCATCCCTGGATACAAACTTTATAGAAAAGCCAGGGAAGGATATATTGAGAGGAGTGTAAGTCAATATGCCAAAGAAAGCATAGAGTCTGATAAACTAGGGCTGCAGTCACACGGAACATAAGCCACGCAAGAGAGACGGAAGACAGGCAGATTTTCCGGGCGCGATCTCACCAGCACATCTGGGAAGCGTAGAGCTCCCGTGGCACAACCGAGGCTTCCCGGCGAAAACGCGCTGCAAAAAACTAGTACCGCGGAGGTACTAGTTTCCGGAAACTGCGGGGCAAGGGCGGGCGTCTGATCGCGTTTCCGGAGGCATCCGGCGCCCGCCCATGTCCCCTTGTGACAAAGGTTTTTTTCCCCCCAAGTCTCTGTGGATGCGCACACGCACCCAACAGAGCATGCGCATTCGTCAGGTACACAAAACAAAAACACCAGTTTGCTGCACCAACCGCTTCTTTGTTGCGCGCAGGCTAGTCCTGTGATCGGCACCTCTCCCTACCCACGGAACCTCCATGGTACCTCCACAGGACCTCCAAGGAGGTCTGATCGCTTAACCGTGTGTTAGTTTGCCCCGGGGCAAACAGCCACGCTTCCTCCACGCAGTTTCCTGCCCGTGTGACCGGAGCCTAGAATATGTAAGAGGAATAAATTCCACCACCAAAGTACTATTGGTGGACATAGCAGACCCAGAAAGTAATTTAATACGTCCCTAGCAGTGTTCCCTCTAAGCTGAGTTAGTGTGAGCTAGGTCACAGTTTTTTAGCCTCCAGCTCACACATTTTTGTCTTCCCTCAGGAAGGATGGCTCCAGAGCAAACTAATTTATGCAGTAGCCAAATCACTCACTCACAACTTTAATGCCAGCAGCTCCCAAAGTAAAAATTTTTGCTCACAAGACTCCACAGCTTAGAGGGAGCATTGGTCCCTAGTATTATCAGCCCCCTGACCAGAGCTGTAAGATTAATCTTTATTTTATTTATTCATTGGGTACAAGATCTTATAACGTCAATATATACTTTCCCTTCCCTCTGCTGCTCTGCCTCAGATATTCTGTTGAGGGTCTCAGCTTTGCATGTGATGGATGGTATATGCTCTGGCCCCTTCCTCCCAAGCCTAGAGATATTTAATACCCTGGGAACTAAGCCGGAAGGAGCCACATCTTGCTTCTTCTCAGATGTCATTCCATAGATGGCTTTCTGAGATAGAGAAAAGAATAGGAGAGGCAATGTAATAATGTGACTTTCAACTACATTCCCATTGACTGCTTAAATGCATATCTGTGACAGAGAGAACTTAGAGATGTCATAACCAGCTATGCCTCTTGGAACAGTTAGCTTCAGACCTGACGAGGAAGGAGGTGATCTTGAACTAGGGTCGTGAGTGGTGATGAGACCCTGGTATGAGATGTAAGCTGTGTTGAACCAGTTGGGAATGGTGAGAGCAGCATTCGTGGAGATGGAAAGTTGCCTTAAAGGGTGGGTGTGTGCAGGACAGGTTAGAGATGTAAAATTTTCGAAAATTTTGAAGCTCGGAAAAAAACTTGTTTTCCCCCCAGTTTTTATTGGGGGGAAACGGAAATTTTTGGAAAAATTGAAAAAAATGCAACATTAGCACTTCTTTTTTCTTTTCCAGATTGAAAGTCACTCTGTTACCTTAGGAACATAAAATATGACTATGGACATTTTTACTTGGCATGAAATTATCACAACTAGCATATTAAAAATATAGTGTATCTAAACAGTTATTACATACAGAATACCCACCCACATGCAAAAACAAAACTGAAACCTTTTTCTTTTCTTGTGACCGATAGCACCTCCTAAAGGAAGAAATGCATCTTGTTCTTGCATTGGAGAGTTCAGTTTGTAACCTAGGACTTGTTTGTCCTCAGTGCACAGAAATTAGATCACTCTGATACCATACATATTTTTAGAAATGATTTGGAAAATATTTGAACACCTTGTCTTAAAATATTTTATTCATCATGTTAAAATAAAATGTTCCATAATCATTTTTTTTCTTTTCTTTAATTTTTCCAATTTTTCAAAAAACAAAAAAACAAAAAAGGCTTCAGGAAAAAACCGGGGGGGAAACGGTTTCCCCCCAAAATTTTCAGTTTTTTCCCCGGGCCTTCACATCTCTAGTCTAGGTCAATGAGGAAACTTCTAAAAAAGGAGGGGGTTAGTCAAAAGGCAGTTGAAAGGGAAAGTGAAGAGGGTCACATCTCTTCAGGATGCTCGGAAGTTGTTCAGATCCATATTAACTGGCACTCATGCAGAAGAGCATAGAGAAGGTGCCATTGAATCTAAGAGGATGCCAGTATGGTTATCAAGGATATCATTAGTATTCATCTGTCTCCCTCTTGTTTTCTTCTACTTGTGGGTGAAGATTTTTTTTGTTTTGTTTGGCATACCCTCAGTAATTCTTTTTGGCCCTAGCCTGCCCCCCACCCTGGCTGCGTTGTATTTGTATGTTTACATGTTTTAAGTGAATTGTATAAACATTTTAAAATGCCACTTGAATGTTTAGATGTTTGCTGCCTTTGGGACCTAATTTGGGTCGGAAAGCAGCACAGAAATGTTTCAGATAAATAAATAAAAATACCTATAATAAAGACAAGAAGTCTTTCTTGAAAAAGTTTTACCCCAGCAAGGAGTACAAACTTTGGCAAAACTAGTGTGAGCTGAGAGTTAGGGCAAGTGAAAAGAATTTATTTTTTCCCGGAGCATATTACTAAAATCATCAAGACAATACAAATTCCTTTAAATATAGGAGATGCAAGATATTGGCCTGAGAGGCAGTTGGGCTGTTAGGCA